AAAGAAGAAATAAATATAGAAAAAGTAATACAAGCACAATGGAAACTGAGAGGGAACAGAGTCAAACGAGGATTCAGAAATGAAGATAGAAATGAAGAAGTCAAAAAGTAGAAAAGTAAGGAATAGAGTTATAAAAGTAGTGAAGAAACGAGGGAAGAGATAAGTGAGAAAGTAAAGACTGAAGGATAAATAAATAAATATACAAAAAGAAGATGGTTGGAAATAGAAGAGAGGGGTATTTCCAAGAGACCAGTATAGGAGACCGGCTCGAGGAAGAATGAGCGCTCGGAGTCCGGGCGCTGTCTTCGTCGCTTCCCCCACTCCGCGTACACAATTGTAGGCAATTTTCAGTAGTTTTAAATATTCTTGGCCAGGTTTTCTGATTTCCGACTGATAATATCCACGAGAAAATCAAATTTTACTACTTATTTAATGAAATTTTAATGAAATTAAAAACAATTTGCGGAACAAAATGGAGCAAATTGAGAGCAGTTAATTCATTAAGAAAATGATATGAAAGGCTGCTGAGTTATTTTGAAGAGCAATAAATAAAATGTTTTGATGTTTTTATTATTATTTTTTAATCATTGTATAAAAGCAGAGGAGCAATTGGGAAATGATAAGGAGAATTTAAGGACTAATTTTTAAGGCATTAAATACATAAATTCTTATCTTTTGATGCTAACTTGTAATAGACTTCTTTAGACCATATGTCAATCTGGGATGAAATTCATAATGCTCACATTTTCGGTATTACGACGACTAGAGAATTACGTAAGATCAGCCATATCACAAAAACATAAATGCTTTGGCTACGTTGTACATCGAAGCTGAAATAACGAAGAATATCGAATTAGACCGTCTCATAAAAGAAGTCACTAGAGCAAAGTCGTGCGTAGGTCGATTATGACAACTAATTTTGTTCAAATAAATCATTTCCAAACGTGTTATATTTTTTATTACAGGTTGTGTATTTATTTATACTACTCTATCAGTGTTTGTTGATGGGGACGGCAGTTTTAGAATGACCCGTGAGCGTCATGAACCGTAATCCGCCCCCCCCCCCCCCCCC